GTTTGAAACCCTGGATTTGCACAACGTAGTGCTATATTGAGGTGACTTGCACGCCGGATAGCGAGCGTGGGGTAGAGCACCGTTGGGGATTGTGACTTGGTCCGTTCCGGTAGATGAATATACTGCGTATTTGATTGAAATTTACTTATTATCATTATAAGTTGAGCTGATTGCTATATTTGGGCTTCGTGCCAACTGATTGAATCCTTTAGGGATTGCTATTACTGGTTTCTTACCATTTTTACATTCTATTGAACTCAGTTCTAGTAATTAATGCTATTTTGCAAACTCAGCCACATTTTCTCAAACTTGAAACTTAATTAATATTTTTAATGAAGTTTGGGCTGAATATTCTATATTACTGTGCCCGAGGGGCTTATGTGATTCTGGATTGAGTATGGGATCGGGCTGCACGCCGCAGCGGTATTGTATTGATATTGATATGAGGCCGAGGGCCTAGTTGATGCCACGAGATGGCTTATTATTGCGCTTGGGCCGTAAGGGGCCCCTCCCGGAGTCTGCACACCCCCAGTGAGCGCCGTCGACGATAAATAGATGGAGCGGGCTGCACGCCGCAACGGGTACTAGAGAGTACCGGACTATGTGTTGCATTTCATATTTGACTGTTATTTACTTACTCATCTGTTGCTGTATTTTCTTTATTGTTTTCATTGGTTTACGGACTTTATATTACTTGGCTTAAATTGCTGCATTTATAGACTGTTTTGTGCCTATTCAGGATTTCTTATCCTCAGCCTTTATTTATGTTTATTACTCACTGGGTCGGAGTACTCACATTACTCCCTGCACCTTGCGTGCAGATCCAGGTACATCTGAGGCTGAGTGAGGATTTCTCTGCCGAGCAGCATACCTGGGAGTATCAAGGTAGCTGCATGACGTCCACAGTCCTGATCTTCCCTTCTATCTTATTGTTTCATTTCTGCATTTCTCTAGAACGATATGTAGTAGGTTGATACTCATGTCTTAAAGGCTCAGACTTGTGACACCGGATTCTTCGGGCTGTGTAGTAGTATTGATATTTGGGATTTTCGCATGTTTTAACTCCATTTCAGTATTGTGACTTAGTAATTTATCTGTGTTAATTAATTCATGAACTGGATAAAAAATGGTTAAGGTTATTAAATTGGTCGGGCTTGCCTAGCAGTGTGTTGGGCGCCATCACGACCGGGGTTGGGGTCGTGACAGGTAGCCGTTGGATATTTCATAACATGGTTGTTGGTGAAAGTAGTAGGTCGGTGGAGAATACAAATCGTGATTCTAGAATTCATGATATGGTTGCGGATGCTTTTGGGATGCACTTAAGGGGGTCAGCCCAATGAAAATGTTGAACAAACTCCTAATGATGACGCAAAATATTTTTTTGAACAGTTAGAGGAAGCTAGTCGTCCATTACGGGAAGGAAGTCCGCACTCTGAGTTGTCTGTTGCAGTTAGATTACTAAGTATAAAATCTGATCGGAATATTTCTCAAGCAGCCATGGACTCTTTCATTGACCTTATGAGTGAACTAGTTGACCCTAATATCAACTTACCTGGTGATTTCTGTAAGGCAAAGAGATTGGTTTCTAAGTTAGGACTTTCGTCAATGAGAATTGATTGTTGTGAAGATGGTTGCATGTTATATTATAAAGATGATTCAACTTTCAACAGTTGTAAATTTTGCGAAAAGCCTCATTTCAAGAGGCTTTCCAGTGGGAATATGGTCGCTATCAAGGCGATGCATTATTTACCTCTTATACCTAGGTTAAAGAGGTTATATGCGTCGATGAGTTCTGCTCCTCATATGAGATGGCACTTTGAAAATAGAAGACCACGTGGTGTTATGTGTCATCCTTCAGATGGAGAAGCTTGGAAGTGCTTTGATTGGACATATCCAGATTTTGCTAGTGAACCAAGGAACATTCGGTTAGGTCTGTGTGCGGATGGCTTCACGCCTTTTTCTGTATCTGCGACACCATAATCATGTTGGCCTGTCTTTCTTACACCTTATAGTCTACCATCCGAGTTGTGCATGACTAGTCCATATATATTCTTAAATTGTATTATCCCCGGTCCACGTAATCCGAAAGTTTGATTGATGTATATTTGCAACCTTTGATTGATGAGATAAAATAATTGTGGTACGATGGTGTTGAAACATATGACATATCAACCAAGTAGAATTTCAATTTGCGTGCTAATTTAATAGGGTCGCTTCACAGCTGACGTGAGGGAATTCATACGCAGTCAGCCGCCTAATGAGTCGGGCGAGCCAATCCAACCTTCGGACGAGGATGCTGAAAGAATATGGATGGAGGCTGCTGGCAGTCCAAAATGGGGGAAGGAAAACGGGCTTCCTACTAAGAAATTCCATCGCTATAAGTGTGGAATGCAAGGAATAGGGACTTCCTCGCAAGGCGAGCAACTTGATGAGGAGAACCTCTACGCTATGCGGGAGACTGTGACAAAGCTCACATCCGAGCTAGAAGCGGCCAAGGAAAGAGAAAAGCTTGGAGATGCTCAGTACATTAGCATGCAAGCTCAGTACCATGACATGCAAGCTCAGCTCAAAACTCTCCTAGCTTCTGGAGCTTTTCTGATTCCCAGGTCTCGTGAGTCATCGCCAGAGGATCGACTTGAATGTGAGCGTTCCTTCCGTCCTCCCCGTGCTCGTTCCTCACGTCCTCCCCGTGATCATTCTTCCCGTCCTCGACAAGTAGACCCATATCTATACCGTCTTGTTGATGAAAATTCATCAGACAGTGATGATAATGATGTTGTACAAAACACTCCTTGACTTTTATATACTTTGAACTAGACAAATAGAACCGATTTTGAACTAGTTGTAATAAGCATTAACTTAGTTTTGTTAGTTCTATTGAACTTTAATTTGTTGGTTTTAATGTGTTTTTTGAATTGTGTTGTTGTTGTTGTTAAGTTGTTGTTGTTGTTGTTGTTGTTGTTATTGTTGTTGTTGTTGTTGTTGTGTTGTTGTTGTTGGGTTGTTGTGGAGATTTTGGTATTGAAATTGTAGTTTATGAATTGAATTATATTGTTATTTAGGGATTTTGGTATGCTGGCAGATGGTGTAGCTGCCAAAACAGGCATTTTATGCCAAAATTATTACCGAGAAAAGCGACCAAAGTTGGTCGCTTACCTATTAAAAAAAATTCTGGCAATTAGCCACCAAGGTTGGTCGCTTATCTCTAAAAAAATATTAAAAAATTAAAAATTGGCGACCAAGGTTAGTCGCTAATGAACCCAGATTTTAATATAAGCGACCAAAGTTGGTCGCTACCCTATTAAAAAAAATCCTTGAAATTAGCGACCAAGGTCGGTCGCTTATATATAAAAAAAAAATTTAAAAAATTAAAAATAGGCGACCAAAGTTGGTCGCTTATGAACCCAGATTGTTAAATATATATTTTTTAAAATAATATATATTTTAATTTACAGACCAACGTTGGTCGCTAATTTTTTAATTATAATAATTAAAAAAAATATCGTAATTTAAATTACAGACCAACTTTGGTCGATAAATTTATATTATTAAAATATTATACCGACCAAAGTTGGTCGGTATTTTGTTTACACTGAACATTTGGTCCTTTTACCTTAGCGACCGAAGTTGGTTGCTAATTAGCGACCAACTTTGGTCGCTAAGGTAAAAGGACCACCAATAGAGCGACCAAGCCTGTTTGGACGCATTTTGGTCGGTATATTGAGATAAGCGACCAACGTTGGTCGCTATATGTGGTCGCTTTTTACCGAATTTCTAGTAGTGTTTGTCAATGAATCGTCCATTACAAATGATTGAGATCTCCTTTATATAGTAGGAGAATACTAAATAAGATACACTTCTAATTATAGTAGGGAATCTTATTGTACAGTTGTCTAACCGCCAAGTACAAATCCGTTCCGGAATTTATGCCAGGATCTTCGGGCCGTTGCGAGAATCTCGCTCTTTCTGTTAATAAACCATAACGGTACTATCTCGAGGTTGGCCATATTCTGCCTTGGCCTTCATCGAGCACTTCGATCTTCAAGTTGAGCTCGAGCCAGGTCCGTTTTGAGCTTTTTCTCGAAGCAACTCTCCGAGCCTACGAAATCGGGCATACTTAATTTTGACTAAAACTTTAACATCAATCCAATAGCTTTGTGTTAAAATTTTGCTGACTTTAGAGTGTATGATCTTTTACGTGTAGTCCGATTCGTGGATAAGTTAATGCCGAGATTTTAGAACAAAGATTGTGCGTAATACAAGAATTATTAGTTCATGTAGTGTTTAGTATATATATATATATATATATATATATTTCTTTTAATATGGATATTTCTTTTATATTTCACTATATGTTTTTTGAAAATGTTTAGACACTTCTTTAACTAATAATTGAGTAATTATGCTGTTATTCATGCTCTTCTATGTAACATTTTACTACAATAGGTATAGTATTGCTGTTTAAGGAAAGATAAAGTATTTTAGAATTTAGTGATCAAAGTAATTTAGGAATGAGACGTATCCTATTTGGCCGTGCTTCTAAAATTAGTTTATTTTGATTTTTTTTTAAGTGCTTTCTAAAAAGTACTTTTGGAGAGAAATTTTATTTTTCCCGTTTCTCAAAAACTATTTCTATTTTTTTGCTTTCTGCTTCTATACTTTTTTTTTTCCTCTAAAAACTTGGTCAAACATATTAACTTTGAAAGAAGAAAAAAAAAATACACCAAACAAGGTAATAGTTGACTGATATAGTAAAAACTTGATTTATTGAGTTTGTTATATTTCGAGTTATCAGATTTACGAATAAATTAGGTTGTTTTCGGCTGTTTTAACTTTTAATTGATATTCTTGTATAAATTTGAATCCACATTAAACTAATACAAAAGAAATTACACAATAGTAATATGTGTGAGTAGAACCTATTTTTGTAGCTCAATTTTTCATGGACTAATTTGCAAAAATTGTCTTGTATTAGGAGTATTATCTATTATTATAAAAAACACATAATACTAAAGGAACAATTTCTCTTTTTTGCTGAATACCTACGACCCTGTGAGTAAAGAAAAAAAACCTGAAAGTTGAGCAGAAATGGAGAAAATGGTGCTGATGCGATCTTTGTATCGATCGATATGCCGCAGATCTACTGTCTTCGGCGCGGCCGCCGCCACAACCTCCGCCGTCAACCACCAGTCCCTCCGCCACCTCCATTTCTCATCCCAATCTTTCTCAGCTTCTCCTAGAAACCCTGTTACAGGTACAAAGCATCATCTGCTTATATTAGTAGCAGTTTGTTTTATCGGATTTTTCTGTTCAGCTCAATTTTGGTTAATGTGTATCCTTGTTTTATTTTGAAGAATGTGAAAATTTGTGAGTCTGCTTTCAATCTGATATTTCAATTGGTAGGGTATTTAGCGTTAGTATCGTGGGTATTTCCTGTTAATTCGCATATAAATAAAAAAGAACCAAATTTGATTAATAGACTAATAGTTTTTTTGTTTATGAGACACATAAATTGTATCTTATAAGTGTGATTAGAACCTGTTTCAGAGGCTAATTATTTAGTATTTTGGAATGAAATGGTCCCGAATAGAGCAGAATGGATAGACGATTGATGCAATCGAGTCCAACTAGTTTTGGATTGATTGATTGAGACAAATGAAAATAGGATTTTTGATGCTCCACTTCAGTTTGATCTTTTTGATGTTTAATTCTCCTTCCCTAATTGATAAAAGGTTTAGCTTTACACCACACTTGTTAGTTTACACATCGTTCACTTCTCTTTAATTTTTTTTAATTCTGCTTTACAACAACAACAACAACAACATACCCAGTATTATCCCACACCGTGGGGTCTGGGGAGGGTTGTGTGTACGCAGACCTTACCCCTACAACAACATACCTAGTATTTTTAATTCTGCTTTATCATATCCAATTGTGGAATCAGTAGGTTATTCGTTTCCATTGTGGATTCTGATTTATGTTAATGTTATTTTAGAAGTAGGTGTAAAAAGCCCCTGAGCGCCATTAGATTCCTAAAGCTTAATAGAATTCTAAGCATAATGCAACAACAAAAATTTTGGCTGGCACACTTGAATATGGGTTCCAATTTACGATTGCTCAGTCTCCCTGTGATAAGTTTGAGTCTTATAAGTGTAAGAGTGCAGGCACCTGATTCAATGTTGGAGGTTGATTCTAGATCCTTTTACTTATAACTCATGGTTACTACGACATATTTAGGATTGTTTGTGGGGAAACAGGACCTTATGTGATTACTTCTTTGGAGAAGCTTCTTAATTGCCTTACTCGCGAAGTGCTTGTATTTTCCGATACTTTGTATCAATTTCATGATCTTGCATCAGTGATTGACATTACATGGATATTGTGAAACTCTAGAATGGAGGAATCCTTTCACAATGGCAATTGGAAGCATGCGTTCTTTCAGTGAGGATTTGTCTCACATGCCTGACATAAAAGATCCGGAGGTCAAACGTGCTTTTAAAGACTTAATGGCTGCAAGCTGGCATGAGCTCCCAGATGCTGTCGTCTATGATGCCAAGAATGCAGTGTCCAAAAGTACTGATGACAAGACTGGCCAGGAAGCTTTGGCGAGTGTTTTCCGCGCTGCGGAGGCAGTTGAGGAGTTCACGGGTATTCTCACATCTCTGAAAATGGAAATTGATGATGCTATCGGTTTAAGTGGTGAGGTAAGCTGAGTTTTAAGAAACCAACGATTTGATATGTAGTTTCTCAAGTTCTTGTTGTTTAAATACTCATATTGCTGGCAGGATGTGAAGCCTCTGTCAAAAGAAGTCTCTGATGCATTGCAAACAGTATTTCTACGCTACAACGCATACATGAATGCCTTTGGGCCAGAGGAGGGATATTTGAGGAAGAAAGTTGAGATGGAACTGGGGACCAGGATGATACACTTAAAGATGCGATGCAGTGGCCTTGATTCTGAATGGGGAAAGGTACATAATTGAAGCAAGTTGGTTGCATGTATTTCAGCTTTTCTGTAGGTTACAACTTCTTACACAAGCGACATTTGCAACACAAGCTATGTTTCGCTTAGGAGATAAGAAAGCTGTGGATACCAACTGCACTCTGAATTACCCTTCTAAAGTTGCACTCGAGTATTGACTGCTATTTCTGTGGTTTCTTTTTCCAGCAAAATTTCAACCAAACTCTTGTAAAATGACTAGCTTTTCATGAGGCCATCCGTTATGCCTTAAAATATATTCTTATCTAAAAATAGGAGTGGCAAGCGGGCGGGTCGGATATGGTTCGGGTCGAAAACGGGTAATGGAAAACGGATAAATTATCCAACCCGACCCATTTTTAATACGGATAAAAAACGGGTTAACCGGCGGATAATATGGGTAACCATATTATCCATGACTTCTTGCATATGTTCACTTTTGGGAGAATTCTTATTCTCCCTAACTTGAGGAACCCCCAATTTGAGGCTTTACAAATGTAAAAGTTAGACCCATTGGTTATCCATTGGTTATCCATTTTCTAAATGGATAATATGGATCTTATCCATATTTGACCCGTTTTTAAAAAGTTCATTATCCAACCCATTTTTTAGTGGATAATATGGGTGGTTAATTATTTTCTTTTAACCATTTTTCCACCCCTTATTGACAATGTTACCATCCATTAACTAGCATACAAGAAACATCTCCCCAGCTTCCTATTTTGATAATGGGGTTTAATTTCTCTGGAATAGATTCCTTTAATGCTTCAGGTGATATTACAATTCATTTTTGAAAGTGTTTCTTGAAGATTTTTGTTGCATTTTCAAAATTATAGTCTGAGATCTCCTGAAGGATGAAGCATATACCATTATTTGTTCTCACTGCTCTTTCTGCCTTGCTAACTCCAGGTTACAGTACTTGGGACTTCTGGACTTGCTGGTTCTTATGTTGAGCATAGAGCATAGGCCTTCAACGATGGCAGATATACCACCGTGTTTTTGTCTTCAATCAGTTGAATGATTGTTGTTTTAGATAAATACAGGCTGCTTCAATATGATCTGTTATGTTGCACTTGGTTCGCAAGTTTGATCATGTGATTGCTACAATAGGAAAATGATAATAATCCAAGAAACTTGTGCAAGGAAATACTTTCTTGAATATTCAGAAAGTTCTAATCTTTGTTTCTTCAAGGTGTGTGCTTGGTTAAATATTTTCTGGTTGGTTGATGAATTAACTTCTTGTTTTAAGTTGGTTTGCTTATTTACTATACGTGGCACAGAGCACTTTGTACCAGCAGTTCACTTTTATCCCTATGATGAAGAACTTCCATCTTTGAACATCTGTGATTTGGCCTTAATGCCAAACTGGTAAAATAAGTGACAGTAAATGGACTACTTAGCCAAAGTTTGAAGCATGCAAAGCATAAGAAAGGTGTTCAATTCTCGAAAGAGTTTGTAGCTATTATCAAGAACATAACGAATACATGAAAAATGAAGTTCAGCATCCCTTTTGGGAAAATGTAAAATTCCTTTGAAATTGAGAGAAGATTGGTTTTGAATGCCAGCAACTAGTGTATCTTGATCATTCTTGCACTCTTTCGCCATGACCAAGAATCAGATGGAGATTTTGGCAAAGGAGGAAGTAACAACAGTTTACGGCACAGACCAAATGGCCATCCTTCACAATGTGAGAATTCCTGAATAACAGAGCGCCTAGGGAAATCTTGAAAGTCAATCCTGTTCAAGCTTGAAGAACGAGAAAGGGTTGTCTTAGCTGTGGCAAATGCCTCATAGCTTTTAGCACTTGAGCAGCGCGAAAGACGAGTCCCAACAGAGAAGAAATCCTCGTTTTCTTCCTTTTCTTGATGTTCCTTGTCCTCCTTTTGTTGCATTAGCTTTGTGGATATGAATAAATCTCCTGCTGTTGGCGAGAAAGTCCAGTTGAACTTGTCACTTGAGATGGTTGTCTGTCTTCTGCATTTTGACTCAATGTATTTACTTATCACTATTGATACAAACACCTGTTGATAAAATCCACAAAACATCTTTCAGAAAACATAAACATATCATAAGATTAATGCATTGAACTTGAAAGAAAAATTATTACTTCCTCTTCATCATCATAATCATCAATTGCATCGTCTTCGTCTGAGCTTTGAGTACTTGAATGACTTTCCTTAAAAATGTGGCAATTGGTAAATGCATCCTTAAGAGTTGAGGTGAAAAATTTGCATCTCTTGGAGGGATTTGGTGATTCTTGCTTAGGAGAGAAGACCATGTTTGGACAAGAGTTGAAAGAAAAATTCTTTGAGTGTTGTAGGTGAAAAGGTTCCCAAAACAGAACTAAATACTTGTAATTTTTCTCTACTGTTTTTTCCCTTTTGAAATTCTTGCATGAAAATGGCCTTCCATCTTCTTTGAACTTTTTGGGTTTTTAATCTTTAAAGTGAAGACAACAATAAAAGAGCCGACCAAGGTATTTTCAAGATAATAACTGATGGCAACTTGGACTACTTCTCTCAACCCACTATGCCAAATCAACTGACATCTCAGTTTCTTATTCTATATATCTTAGTTATTGTTTCTATTTCATAGTAATGCTTCTAAATTTGTAGCCATTATTTTTCACTTCAACCTGAAGTCAAGGGTGAAAGAAGACACTACACCAAACTATGACCACTAAATAATCCTTTCAGATCTTATTACCTTGAATATGGTATAAGAGATAATCAATTTGACATTGAATCAGCTGAAAAAATGAAAATGATGTCATCAACAGAAATATTTTTTCGTATAATATTTTACTATTTACCAAACACTGTCCTTTATCAGGATATCCACCTAAAGAATAGAATTTTTGTCATAGCTGCACCTTTCGAAGCTTAGTTAAAATACCATAAGTTAGTTTAGAATAATAAAACTAGGTTTCACCATTAACACAATCATTTAGCTCTTCGCCAGTTCTGCAAAACTCTAATCACTGTGATACAAAAACAAATTTCTATTTTGGTAAAATCTATAACAACAACAACAACAAACCCAGTGTAATCCCATAAAAATGGGGTCAGAGGAGATAGTGTGTAAGCAGACCTTACCCAGACCTTACCCCTACCTTATAGAGATAGAGATGTTGTTTCCGATAGACCTCGGATTTTGGTCAAATCTATCTTCCTACTAAACAAGAAGAAGAGAAGCAGCTCTACCATAAGAAACTGCAACTCAAGAAAACTGATTTCTTGCCACAATGTTACAACATCTTCATATAGTGGAAGCACTAACATCTTCTTATCGTCTATTTTGTTAGCGACAAATTTATACACCGACAACACCAGACATCCATGGAACAATTACTGGTGCATTTGGATGAGCGTTTCTGTATGATTCAGGATACCGGTCCTTAAAATTCAACGTAGGTGTCTCTGCCTGCATTTGCAAATGAAAAGAGGGAGAGATGATTGAGAACAGCTTAGTCAGCTAAATATCAAAATTTGCAAGATAAGAACGGGAGGTAGTAAACTTTGTGAAGGGAAAGCGCGCAGAACTTACATATTTCAGCCAGCACTCCTGATGCTTGTGTTGATAAATATCCGGAGAGTGGCATCCCGTCTCTGATGGGCAGTAAACCCATATGTTACATTTCTTTTGGTTAGGTTTGGCATGCTTAGCTTGATTCAAACAAGCCATGCAACACTCATATGCAGATTTTTTATGGTGTGTAAGGCCCCATCTTACAGCAGCACCACCGTAATCGGTATGGATTTCAGCATGACACTCGGGAGGAAGCTGCTTGCCAGCTATGACTTCGTCGTCTGGAGAATATAAGTTTATAAGTTACTGCATAATATCTATCTATAAGCAGACAGGGTCTCCCTGTTTTGTTATTTAATATAGCAAATTTGTTATAGAGAGGACATAATATCAGCATGTTTGATTGATCAAACTTTAAGCATGCATGCCTTCTATCAAAGAGAACTTTAGTCTTTTTGTTTTGTTTCATACAACAAATGACAATTACGCGTCAATCCCAAACAAAGTTGAGGTCGGTGATATCAATCCTCACTTCTTTATTTAAGCTCAACTCATATCATCATCATGCCAAACAAGAAAAAGAGGGAAAAGCAAATGATATAAAAATAACAACAAAGACGCTTGCAAACGGAGAGGCGGAGAGGGAGGGGAAAGGGAAGAACACTTTTCTTGCTCAAAAAACGGGAGATAACGAGAAAGCTGATGAAAGGTCTGGAACAAAACAAAACAAAGAAACACATAAAATAGGGACTGAACAACTAACTATCTTATTACCAAGTTCCTCTTCACCCTCAGGTTTGTCATCGTGTTCTATATTAGTGATCTGAACAGGTATCCAGAGACCAATTTCTTCTGACAGCTCAGCCCAGTCATCCTTCAAAGCTCGTGCAAGTAAACCTGCAAGCAAGGTCACAGATATTACCTATTTCTTGAAAATTCCAGTGAATTAGAATTCAGAACTCCTTCAACATCAAAAGAAAGTTGAAAATACAAAATGTGAATAGCAGCCATAAAAAGGACATACTAGCCTCCTCTGGGGAAATAGTTGAATTTGATGTTTTCTCATGAACAATTTCTGCAGCTTCTTTCAATTTTTCTCTACGCCAACTTTCCACCACATCTGTTAAACAAAAACACCATCAAATATGATAACCAGGAATTGTAAATGAAACACAGCAAACGAATACATAAAAGAAAAATAAAAACAGACTAGTTATTCACATAATAGTAGAACTCATAAGGAACTATTTTTTATGACGCCAGAACTCATAAGGAACTAATAATTTCGGTGGTTACTTCAGTCTTCACATAAACATGAATTTTTCCAAGGTCAATCTTCAAATTAAGTGGCATTTAAGTAAGCTATCCAAATCAATAGCAGTGGAGGAGGTGCAAAATCTCCATGCCTGGCTGCTTTGGGGCATGCAAAGTAGCTGACCACGAAATACCTAGATCTTCCCTTAGGCAGTAAAGTGGAGGAGAGGGAGCTTTAGCAACCAATGACGCAGAATTTTGGGAGAAGATAGGAAGGATGGAGGAAGCAGGTACTAGAAGTTTGGGAGAAGATAGGAGGGATGGATGTCACAGGGAGGAAGAGTTTCCTTGATATAGGAAATCCTATCGAACATTCCTATAAATTTCATGTCTCTGTTTCCCATCCCCCCTTCAGTAGCCAAGAAATGTTCTGTTTAATCAAAAAAAGAAAAAGTTGGGGGAATGAATGGAGATAGAGAGTTTCATTTGGTGAATTGGGGGAGAGTCAAAGCCCCTGTTAGGAACAGTGCATTGGGTATCCGAAGATAATTAACTATGTTTGACTGAGCTCTACTGAGCAAATGATTATAGAGGTTCGCAAATTAGGAGAAGGCTCTGTGGATGGAAGTGACTAGTAAAAAATAAGCTGCGCCCACTCCAGCTGGTTCGCAAAAGAAATGAGTTATTATTCTTAAAGAACAAGCTTATGGAAAGGGATCGTGAAGGAGAGAAAGGATGTTTCAAGATTCATTATCGCGAATGGAATGTAGTCCATTCTGGCTTAATGTTCAGTGTGGTGATACTGCTCGTAAAGACGACTTCCCTACAGAGCCGAATAAACAACAGGAACATGAACTGTTGTACTTTGGAAACTTCATTTTCCAGACAGAATAATATAGACTTGTCTTTTAGGAGAGAAAAAGAACAAGTCTTGAGCATCTGGTCAACGCATGCAAAAAAGAATCAAAGCAAATAGACCCAACTATCATGATTCCGAAGCTCCCACAACTCCCCATGCCAGGACTTACAAATTATATGTATATGCTAAAGGATGTTAGTATTTAGCTTTCGGCATATGTTTAAACAGAAAAACCCATGACAAGCAAATTCAATGTTCCGACATCTTAAAAAACACGCTAGTGTAACACCAAAAATCAAGTGTAACATTTCTTTCCATCTGACACTTTCCTTTTCAGAAGACCAGGACACCTGTTTCAGCTACACTTTGGTGAACTGCATTTAAAGAAGGTTTCCGTTCTTTGTATTCGGCAAAAGAAAACCTTGGACACTAGGCCAGATACAGACACTGTTAGTAGCAAGTTGATTGCATTATGGAATCTCCAAATTGATTTATGAGCTTTAACCTACATACCACTTCCTTCATTAACAAACATCTCTACACAGACCAAATAGACTTTAGTAAGAGATAAGAAGTCTACAACTAACAGGCTTCAGTATAGACGGCTAAGAAGTCTTCCCTAATAGAAGCTTTAAGAATGCAGGTCCAAAAACAAGGATAGCACAACTTTATTAATCTAAAGAAATAGAAGGCACACTCACCTTGTAGCATCGTTTCATCGGCATTGGCATTCACGCCTTTTAAAGTTACTAGGATATCATCTGCTATCTTCTGTTTAATATGCTGCGGTATTTGTTGCACCTTTTCATCCTTCAAAAGTTCGATCTTTAAGCCATTTACCTTCATCATATAAAAAGCATCGCTCATCAAGCAAAGTCAACGTGGAAACAGAAAAATTATGAAACCAGATACCAAAATCTCAAATAAAGGTCTTACCACGTTAATAAGTTCTATAGGTTCTAGTTGTTTCCGTAATTGAATTGACTCTTCCATTTTCCTAATCTGATCTGAGGTATACCTAAAAGCTGTATTCACAAAAAAACATCCATTTATCAAACCAGCAACGAATATTCCAAGTAATCAACAAAAACCAAACAGGTCAACAGAATATTCAGAATCAAGAAGCAATGTCATTCCAAAATAATCCGGGAATGCCTAAAGCTTAAAGCTGTGACAAAACTCAAAAGCCATGGATTTTATCAAACAAACATTCGACTTTCCAAGAAAGTAACAAAATCCCAAAATGAGTCAACATAAAATCCATAGTCAAAAAAGGGTTGGGTCATCCAAAAATAATCTGAGGTATAGCTAAAAGCTGTGGCAAAAGAACCCCTTATTAAAAATCATTCAACTTTCTAAGAAAGCAACAATATAACAAAATGGATACAAACAAAAGATTCAGAAGCTAGAAAAAGGGGTCATCCAAAAATAATCTGGTTTTATGGTGTATAGCTAAATATACTTAAAGCTGCGGCAAAACCACTCATTTATCAAACAAGCAATCAACTTTCCAGCAAAATCCCAAATGGGTAAACAGAAAATTCATAATCAAGAAAAAGGGGTCATCCCAAAATACTAAAAGAAGCATAAATATTAAGTAATACTGTAGTAAGTAGCAAAAGTTACCTGTTTGAGTATGATTGAAAGGGTACATATAGACAGAAGTGTAGAGAGAGTGAAGCACATAGAGAGCAACAAATATGTTGATTGAGCAAACAACAATCATAGTTTGCTTATATAAACACCATTTTCCTCTCCATTCTGCTGCTGTTCTTGCCATCTCCACTCACTTTCTTCTCTTATCTCCTCACTCCATCATCTTCTATCCCCTCAACACACACACACACACACACACACAAAAAGACACCCCAAGAATCTTGAAATGTGAAGAATGTTTTTTGACAGTATCTTGTTTGCTTTTCACGGATCAGATAGATCGATAGTGGTATAGTACCAATATTCTTTTTACTTAGATTTGATTAAAACAATACGAAAAATGGAAAGCAGGGAGAGGAGATGAAATAGCAAGTAAGTACTACAATATACTACTACTATATAATACTAATGGAGATTCTTTTTACTCCAGCAGCTGTCGTTAGTGAAATGTATTTTTGGGGTCACAGGGGTTTAATTTGTCAATTATAATTACTATTTAGGTAGAGATAGTTATGGTTTACGTGATGTAACGTGTGACAGTACGGGGAAACAAAAATGTCGGGGGAGAAAGATTATGTTTTTTGGGTGTTTCGATACTGTCTGGTTTTGTTGTTAAAATGAGATTAAAAGTTAGCTGTAAAAAGGCTGAAAAGGGAAAAGTCTTGGATCCCTTAGTTACACTCAAATATGGAACTTTACTACTCATAGTACATGTCATGTTGGAAAGATTGGATTTAATAAAAATTGCTAAGACGGGAAGTGTAATATAATTTTGAAATTTTCTATAAAATGCTAAAGATGAAAACGAACATTGCTGAAGTGAAATGATCTACCATTTTAGGTTTGGATTTGCGTATAATAAACTACTCCCTTCGTTCCACAATAAGTGACCAATTTGCTTTTTTATTTTGGTCCAAAATAAGTGTCCACTTATATAATCAAGAAAAAATTTAATTTATTTTTCCAAAATTACCCTTATGTATGATCCCTAAAAGTTATTTACTCTTCACATTTGAGAAGAGAAGTAAGTGCTACTATAACTATGGTGCAACATTTAATGAAGGGTAATTTAGTTACACTAATTATTTTCGGCTAAAATTTAGTATTTCTTTAATGAGTGTGCTCAAAGCAATTGGTCGCTTACTGTGGACCGGATGGAGACATGGAGTACTTTGCAAATAGTTAATTATGGATCTTAGTTGAAGTTAATTCACTTTTTGAGAGAATATAAAATTGGGGTTTTGACACAGTTACCCACAAAAACAAAACTATTTACCCTTGTCTACCCATTTGTTTTTCTACCCATAAACTAATTACATTTCCTACCCATGGTAGGTTTTGTGGGGAATTTTTTTTTTATTCTCCAATTCTTTTTTTTTTATTTCTATACTTCTTTTCTTTTCTTTTTTCTTTTCTTTTCTTTTTTCTTTTTTTTCTCGTTTTCTTCTTATTTTTTTCTTTTTTCCTATTCTAATTTCATTTAACTTTTTTTTATATTCTTTTTCTCTTCGTAATCTTATTTCATTTACTATTTTCACTATTTTTTATTATTCTTTTTTTTATATTATTACTAAAGAAAAATTAAATTGTGTACCAATTAAATGTAGCTAATACAATCAAAAAAATATTAACTAACATATGATACCAGTATAGTATGTAGTTATACCAACATGGTATACAATTGTACGTAAAGAGTTAAAAAAAACTTTAATTCAATTATTAAACTGAAATAATATCAGTTGTCAATAAAAATTTCAAAAAATTCTAAAAGGATCTAATGGTAAGAGTATACCGTTACGTTATATAGCATACTATAATTTTTTTTTTTTTTTTTGCATTTTCAATTTGCCTCTCACGCTGTGTAAAAGCTTAAAGCAAATTAAAAGGGAAAAGGCAAGTGAATTTACGGGTAATATGTATATTATTATAGTAGATTGTATACTATTACAACATATTGTTACAGTATATTGCATATTATTACAGTATACTCTAACAATATATTGTGTACGATAATAGTATATTGTTGCAGTATAACTATATACTCCTATAGTATATTGTATACTGTAGCGGTATACTGTTAGGTAACTATGTTTGCAGTATAGCTATATACTCCTATAGCATATTGTATACCGTAGCGGTATATTGTAGCTGTGTTCTTTTTCGATTTTCAACTGAAAATTTCAATCTCAATCACCTCAAATCAGCTCCAAATGCTATCAAATTTCGGTATGAACTTTCAGAAGGTACTATAAGCAATATTTAACAGCACCCACTTTGAATCAAACAAGAAATCTTCAAAAATAAAATTGAGCTTCAAGCCCAACGACGGTGAATATTCAAATACACACAAAAATTTAGATGTGAGAAGCTTACTCGAAGATACTATAAGCAATATTTTATAGCACCACATCGAAACAAACAATAAATCTTCAAAAAAACTATTTTCTTCCTTAAAACTTTACTATAACATATAAACTGAAAGTAAATACTATTGAAAAAAGAGATAGAGACAGAGGGGGATTAATGTTTTCGGAATGGGGTTTTGACACAGTTGGGGAGTTGAGCAAAGAATTGGAGGAAGGTAAAATGAGGAAGGAGAAGAAGAGGAACATAATAAAGGCGGGTAAATAGTTTGGAGTGCATGGGTAGGAGTAGTAAATAGTTTGGGCCTGGGCATTAAAGGGTAAATAGTTTGGAATTAATGGGTATAAAGTGATATTTTCTCTATAAAATTGTTATTATGAACCCATTAGATGCAATTCTAATGTTATACGGCAAAAAAAAAAATGCGCGACTAGTAGAAATTATAGAAACTAGTAACATGTTATTAGTGGCTTGTTTGACTAAGCTTCTTTTTGGTCAAAAAATACTTTTTTCTTAAGTTGGTGTCCAGTTAAGCTTTCAGAGGGGAAAAGATTACTTTTGGGAAGAAGAAAAAAGTAGCTCCCACTTTTGAAAAAAACACACTTTTAGAAGAATTCCGACAAACACTAGTTGTTGCTTTAAAGTGTTTCAAATTAATTAGTTAAATACAAACTGTTTATGTAATTTTTTGAAAAATATTTTTGAGAAAAACACTTTTCAGAAAAACTGATTTTAGAACCTTGGTCAAACATGCTATAAATGTAAAACCTTTTCACTGAATTATAACCTCTCTATATTTTTTTTATAACAATGGTATCCGAATGAATTTGTTGGAAAAATAGGTTATGGAGAATAAGAATTAGCTTGAGGCGTGTCAATGACACTGTCCTTAAGGATATTTTGCCCACACAATAACGAATAAAATTAGGCGTATCTCCAGGATTCAACAAGCTCTTCCAGTTATTAAACTGGGAACAGAACTAGCAGAAAACTTAAGAAAGAAATCCAACATATAGCAGAAAGAAGATGATTCAGAAAGTTATGTTAGAAAAATGTGTCTTTAGCTCTTCAAAGATCATGTTTATATAGGTGTTGCTCCAACGGCTAGATAACGGTTAGTTAACAGCTAGTTTGACTCAATTAAATGTAAAATAATTTACTAACTAATAAGCAAATGTAAATTATATTTCAAAGAGAAAAAAAAATCAAATCAAGATGGACATTACCTTTTAAGATATCACTAATTTTACGATAGAATTTGCACCATTTTGACTATTCTATTAAATATATGTAGAATAACTATGATCATCACTTATTCTTTTTTGTCTTGCACCCGCTGTATTGGTCTAAATTTGGCGACCTGGTAAGGGTAGATAAATAGGATCGAGAACGGGTCAACCACGGCGTAATAGCGGAAAGCCGTCTCCAAGAGGATTGTAGTCGAGGACGGACGACGAGGGTAAAGAAATAACGGTAGGATAGATTTGGAAATGAATACAAGGAATATTCCTTTGGATATTCCTTATTTTGTACTTTTTAGGATTTCTCGGAAATACCCCTTATAAATAGGAAGATATAGAGAATAAAAGGGGGATCTCTTCATTTTTTGAGAAAAAGATGTTGTAAAAGGTTGACTTGAGAGAATATACAAAAGTTGTCTTGTTCATTGATTATCTTATTCAAGTGCACGTTATTTGATCTTTGTTCACAAGATCCAAAGATTCCATAACCATCTTCACTTCTCTTCTTTCCACGCTGCTGTCAGGAGAAAGAACCATCCAAATCATATAATAATTGGGTGGTAGATTCTTTCTTATTACATTTATTGTCATTATCCACATTTATTGCATATTTATGTTATCATATTTATTAGCTTCCATTGAATACAAACGTATTATTTAATGTTGTCAAACGTCGTTCATCCTACCGATTTCCTACAATATTTGTTCCAGAATTTAATATTTTTAACTAAGATTCATCCTTCATTTCATCATTAATTAGTTTAACTAAAAGGCTCAACACTTTTTGGTCAAACAATTTGGCGCCGTCTGTGGGGAGTATTTTAGTTAAATTTTTTAGTTTTTTCTAGATTATAAAGGACATCCATCTTTTTCTCGTCTGCACAATATAACAATGGCAGGGAAAGGAGATGAAAGACAATAAGCAATAATGGGTGTCACTACCAATATCTTAAACACCATCAACGAGGATGGCAGAGAAGACGACGAGAACGTGACATCGGGTGTTACACCCACGCGGAGTGACTCACCTCCCCCTCATGGAAGTGTAACCGCTTCACGTGAGAGAGGAGCTTCCACATCCACAACCGAAGAAGCACCACCAGCAGTAAAAAAAAAATTACTGGAGGAGTGGATGACAAGCACTCTAAATAACATACTCGACAAACCCGCTCAACGGGCAAGTAGGAACGTCATACAGACGGATACCACGACGATCGCCGACGAGCAACCCGCTTCCCCAATATGTAACACTCACACTGCTGTTGATGCAGGTAATGACACACTCACGACCATCTTAAAGAAAATGGAAGAAATGGAAAATGAGAAGAAGGAGCTCCGCGACCAGATGAGGGAGCATCAGGAAAGGGTCGATAAAATACAGGGCGCCCCAAAACTGTTACCAAAACGGGATGTCGGTCGATTCGTCGAACAGCCATACAACAAGGAGGCAGCCCCATATGCCATAACCAAAACCTTCAAAATGCCACCACACTTGAAGATATATGACGGCACGACGGATCCCGAAGATCACATCATTCACTACGTCGCAGCAGTAAAGGGTAACGACCTCTCAAAGGAGCAAGTACCGTCAGTGCTACTAAAAACGTTTGGTGAGACCTTAACCGTGGGAGCCTTAACTTGGTACTCACAATTACCAGCACAATCTATAACAACGTTCGAGGAAATGGCCGACAAGTTCGTCACCGCCAACGCCGGGGCTAAGAAAACGAAAGCCAAAGTAAATGATATATTCGCCGTTAGGCAATCGCCTGGCGAGGGACTCAGGGTCTTTTTAGCCCGGTTTAATAGGGTAAGAATGAGCTTACCAAATGTATCGGAAGGGA